ATTTGCTAATATATATATATATATATATATATATATATATATATAGGATCTTACAGAGACGACCGACCCGCTCGGTGTTTAACCTGTTGCTGCGTTATTGCTTGATGATAGACCGTTCGGTCTTATGACAAGAAATTGAATTTAGGATAAAATTAAAAATAGTGTTCAGCAATTATAATCTGACTGAAATAAACAAGTCAACAAATTTTAACTAAAGTAAAATTTGAGGTGAGTCGCGTTGCTAGTGTTAGGAAGGACTTTTCATCACTTCTAGTCGATAAACCTCAGGATTGTGCGGTCAGAGCTATGGCTGCGGCTGCGACTCCGCCTACATTTCCGTTCCTGCTTTCTATGTGGCCATTCGGTATTTCTTTTTGGAGGCCTTGATGAGCTTCTTATCCGCGACCGATCCGTCTTTACATACTTACGGAGATGACCCTCTCGGATAAGCTGCTCGATACTGTTTTTTAACGTGGTACATTCTTCTGTGGTGTGACCATTATTTAGGTGATACCGAAAGGTTTTTCCCTTGTCGGCGTCCGTAGGAGAATATCTCCGGTGGAGTGTGATCAAATTGGTGGCAAGAGCTTCCTCTACAACCTTTGCGCGAGGTGCATTAAAAGCCGCAAAGTGGTTAAACTGGTAACGCGAGGGAAGTTTTTCTGGGGATGGTCCCCGTTATTATGGAACGATCGTTTTCCCTCTTTTTTGTTCCCGTCGTTCGTCTCCTGCTGCTGCTTCTTCCGTGACTGCGTGATGTCCTCTACCCGAATAAACTTTGCCACCCTATCCTGGAGTTCCTCCATGGTTTTGGGGGGCTCGGCATATATGTCCTCCGAGAAATGTCCCGGTCTCAAGCATGAGGGTAGATTGCTGATAATAAAGGAATGGCCAATATCCTTTATTCGCCGAGCGGTTTCATTGTATCTTTTCATGAAGGACTTTAGAGATTCGTCCTTCTCCTGCTTGGTGTTAACGAGTTTTGCTGGTGTCAGGTCCTGCATTCGGCTGGACGCGTACTGCTGTCTGAAGAGGGATTTCACCGTGGCAAAGCAGTCTATTGTACCTGGAGGAAGGGTGTTATACCACGACAGTAAGTTTATATTTTTATTTCTGTTTATATTTTTATTTTTGTTTATATTTTATTCGGCTTATGTCAACTTAATGTCCATAAAACAACTTATAAATACAAAGCCAGGACGGCAAGCCAGGAGTCCTATTCACACTCACATTTACATCAATAGATTGTTTATATCCAAAAAGTATCCTAATAATTTTGATCGTTCGGCCTCTGGGTATTGGTAGAGTCTGAAAAGTGGGATCGTTGGATTCTTTCTAATCCTACGGTGCGAAATGATCAGTGGTTACATCAGCTTTCCCCTCAATAATGTGAAAGGATTTTCTGAGGAACCCTGGTTAGCGCAACCGTCATTTCTACCCCATTTCCTCGACAAACTTCTTCACTTCTCCTTCTTCAGCATTTCCTTTGACATTTGCACACAGGTAACTCATGGACTCTTTTTCCTATTCAGATTGTTCTCCCACATTTGTTAAGAAAAGGGGGAGCGACAACCAGGCTGACGCACCAGAGGGCTCTCGGAATAGGGCTCAGTGTGAGGTTGTCTCCATACTTTATGGCGAGAATGCCTTTGTTTATGGTGGTGTTGTGGTGGAGGAGCCCGAAAATCTTCGTTCCTCTATCGGGAGTAACTATGAATGGGCCTCTCGAGATGTAAGTGGATTCCCTAGTATTTTCGATAGTAGGGCTGTGTTATTGAATTGGGCAAACGATAATTGTATTCTTAGAAATCTCAGCTATGGCTCTTGTGTTAAATTAGTTGCCTGTGGGGAAAACGAGAGAGTCTTCTATGGTAAAGAGAATTCTAAAGACGATTTCTTCTATGTTTACTCTTATCTGTTCTACGATATGTACCTTAGGTTTCCTCTAAATGTTTTTCAAATGGATGTTCTGAAAACCCTTAACGTCGCCCCCCCACAGTTACATCCAAATATAGCTGGGGGTATATACAGGCGTTCGCGGTTATGTGCCAAGCCTTGGCCATTAATCCCACGGTTGCCCTGTTTCTTTATTTTTTTAGGACCCGGCCGATCGGAAAGAGGGGTTGGGTTTCTCTAATTACTGAGCCTGGGGACGCAATTTTGGAATTATACGCCCAATCCTTTAGAGGTTTCAAAAAGCAGTTTTTTAGAGTGTCTATCACTGAATCAGGTCGCTCGTTCTTTTTTAACGAGGATAGTAGCTCCAAGTTTCCCTTGTATTGGACCCAGAACCCTAGGAAGCTTACCTCTTGGCCGAAAGAAGATATGACTGATATCGAGTTGGAGGCTCTGAGTGTTATAGCTGGGTTGCCTCGCCCCTTTTCCTCCAGAAAGATTATCAACTGCCTCGAGCATGACGATATGAAGTCGAGGGTATTGGGTATGTTCTTTTACTGAGTGCTCTGAATTTTGTTTTTGCATCATTGACTTGGTATTTGTTGTGTTCTGTTGCGTATAGCTGTTATGGGTAAAAAAGCTTCTCTTGACTGGTTTGCCGCTGCTGATGCCAAGAAGAATAAAGGGGGATCCTCGATCCTGACGACTGTCAAGAATCCTATTCATGTTGATGACGAGCGGCCACCTCCCGAACGGCCGCTTTCAAGAAAACGAAAGATTATCACCGGTGGAGATTCGAAAGCTTCCGATAAGAATAAAGGGGGAACCTCAGCCTTGAGGACTATCAAGAATCCTATCCATGACGATGATGAATCGCCACCTTCTCCCGAACGGCCGCTTTCAAGGAAACGAAAGGCTGTCACTGGTGGAGATCCGAAAGCTTCCGATAAGGGGAAGAGTATTGGAGGGGTGGTCGACCCGCATGCCGATCGCGACATTCCGAATGGCATGTGGGATGCGGCCTTTAACCTTGGCCATAAGATCGAGTTCAACTTTGATTTGGCTGAGCAGAAAGTCATGGAAAAGACTTCTGAGCAAAAAATGGCAGATAACTGCTTAGAATTCGCATGTCGTGCAGCGGCAGCTGCCTGGAACTTAGCATATGCCTCCAACCGAGGTAACTTGGTCACCGAGCTTGAGCGTCTAAAAACCGAACACGCTAAGTGTGAGCAACAGCGGAAGGAATCCGAGAAGATGATAGTGAAGGGTCGGGAGATAACGGAAAATCTGCAGAAGGCTAGCGTTGAAATGAAAAAGGTCAACGAACGGCTTGTAGCTGATCTGGAATTTTCAAGGAAAGAGAATGAGCAGTTGAAGAAAAGCTTGACAATTTTGACTGCCGAGAGGGAGGCCTTGCGCCAGACCATTACTGAAAACCAGGAGTTGCAGGATGAGATGACTGATGCTATCATCCTGGAACATACCAGGGGCTTTAAGAAGGCGCTAAGGCAAGTGTCCTATATTTTGAATGTCTGTACTGAAGGAGTCAACTTCGACATTCGGAAGGACGTTTACCAAGGAGAGTGGGTTCCGATAGACGTCATTCCTGCCGGGGCATTTCCAGATGACGAGCCTGCAGGGACGCCCACCGAGGCAATGGCAAGAGAGGAAGCTGCTCGAATAGAGACACCCGAGGGGAATTCAGGGGTTCCTGCTGTCGAGGATGCCCCCGTCTTAGACCTTGTATAGAATAGATTTAACTTTTAGACATTCTGTTATTTTGTACTTATTGTTCTTAGGGTTGTTTGCTGCGTGTATGTCGTCATTTGGTACTTGTCTTGAAACTTTATGTTCTTATACTTGAATGTTTATAGGATCGCTGTACTTGAATGTTTATAGGATCGCTATACTTCATTGTTTATATGATGAGTGCCTTTGTTGACGTTTATATCGCCTCGTTACATGCGTGGCCCCTAGGGATTTCATCCCTTAGTTGGATGCGTCCGGATGCTACCTATCCGTCAACGCAATCGGGTTCTCGTGACCCTAGGAATTACATCCCTTAGTTGGAGTGTCCGGAAGCTGTCTTATCCGTCAACGCGATCAGGTTCTTGTGACCCTGGTGTGGAAACCTTTTCCATTGATTGGGTGCCTCAGCACGAACGGTTCTCTGTCGCCCGCTCTTGTAGTCTGTATGCAAGATGTGATTATCTGCACTGTAAGACTATCAAAAGTCCAGACCGTTCGGTCGAGGTATAACTGCTTTAAAGTCCTGTGATCTGCTAGATATATAATATCAAAGATATAATTGCGACCGATTGGTCGAGATGTAACTGCTTTAATGATCCGCAAGATGTATAATATCAAAGATATAATTGAGACCGATCGGTAGGATGAACTTGCCCATGCCTTAGTCCCTTGTGACCTGTTTGATAATATCCAAATATATGCTAGATCGTTCGATCTTTGATTGGACATTTGAAGTATTCATATGAGGATGTGTCATAGGTATAGGTGTCCTATTGTCTTGAGACCTGCAAAATAAAATGATTGTATTGTATGACATCACTCGGAAGATTTTAAAGAAAAGATAAGGTGATCGGTTGAGAATCAGCTTGGCTCTTTAGCTCTTGGTTCGCAGAAAGTTATTTTGACATTAACTTGATTGGCTATGACGTCGGATGGCCAAGTAAGTAAAACCTGTTCGGTTTCAATTCTTTGATAGTTTGTGCTTATTTCAACCTGTCGGAAGTATTAATTTGAATCCATCATGTAATACACTGGTGGACGTCTTTGAAGAGTTAAGTTCATGCAACATCATAAAATAAAGTTCTACCGTCCTTTTTCTGGATCAATAACGAGTCATAATATAAAAAGTGGACTTGGGCACGATTTTGTAGATTCTCGTACGCCTTTTCTCTTAAGAAGCATATTGCAGAAGATATATTGACTTTGTGTCAAACAGCCCTAAATATGAGCTTTAGCAGTACTTGATGGAAAACTTCCGCAAAATCTTTCACATGGTCCTCCACCGGCTTCGCACCACCATGTCGTCCACGTAGATCTCCATACATCTACCAATCTGGTGGCAAAAGACTTTGTCCATGAGTCGTTGGTAAGTAGCCCCTACATTCTTCAGTCCGAACGACATAACCTCGTAACAATAGTTTGACCGTTCGGTTATGAAGGCTGTTTTATCACTCAGTATAAGATAGGTGGGACAGAAAATCTGGTACAGAGTGCTCCACTGAATTATTGTGCCCGACAATAAGGTTTTATGAACAATAAAGTAGTGGATGAAATTTAAGATATGTTTCGGCCAGATCTGGATGACCCTGCTAAAACACGTGAGTTTGCCGAAGACCGGGCGGACGTTGCTAAATCCCACGAGCCGAGGCAGACCGAGCGACTTCGTCGCTAGGGGGCATTTGAAGCTGGCGAAAACCGGACGGTTACCTCTTTTTGAGGTCTGGACGCGCTGGGAGGGGTCAGACGGGCTCTCTCGTCTTCAAGTCCTGGTTGTGGCGTTCGTTCCACCCGGTTCTCTAAGCCAGGCGGTCGGTTACCTGTCAAAGGCAATCCGACACTTAAATCAGTAACATGACCGAGTTGTCTGTAATGCATGTATATATTGCATCATAAGCAATCTGTCCCGAAATCATACCTGGAACCTTTATTTATACTGATTATAATGGGCTTTTACCTTTTGTGGGCCTGATAACTGCCCAATCGTACCTTAATCTTCATTTAAGGGCTTTAATGAGTCATTAGCATTTAACCGTGTAGTCGACCGAGTGAGGGTCGGTCGGGACGGCCGGTCAGAAGGGTGGTCGGCCAGGGATGTCAACCTGGGTGGGCGGCCACTCGGTTCTGCTGATCGGTCACACTGGACGCTCGGTCTTGATGGCCGACCTGGGTGGACGTTCGGTTCATGAATGGTCGACCTTGGGGGATCGCTCGGTCTATGTGTGGTCGGACAGCGTTAGCTTGGACGCTCGGTCTTGATGGTCCACCTGGGTGGGTGTTCGATTTATGAATGGGGAGGTGGGGAGGACCGGACGGTACAAGATACAATAATTAAACACAAACAAAAATAAAAGTGTTACAGTAGAATTTGTGCAAGATTTTGGAGAGTATTTGTTCTTATTTCAAATTTGGAACTTACCCAGTACTTTCTTTTGAGGCTTTAAGAAAAGTAAGGAGTCATAAAGCATTCTGGATTATATGAATATAAATTTCGAAGAGAAGAAAAAAACAGAAAACGAATGAGACAGAAATATTACTCATAACTAGTTCAGAACATAATATTCATAACTTTGTTATAAATATATTTTTTACATCACATCAGCAAAGTGGAAAATTGCACATAATGAACTGAATGTCATAATTCCGAAATGGTAAGAGTAGTAAGATGACCATGCTCAAATTCAGAAGTATTGTAACATCCCAAAAATACAGCAATAAACTATATATTAGAATAATCACAATAATAATCAAGAATCAGTCTTACACTAGAGTCGAGCGCACGCTCATGGCCGAACAGCCTTACAGAAAGGGTTACAAATTTAGGCCGTACAAGATAGGCAAACCTGACCGAACGGTTTACAAAAGAAAATACCGAACGGTCATTCTTAACAAAAGGGAAGGTGATCGAACGACCACCTTAAAATAACTAGGCAATGAACCGAACGTTCCTACCGCTCGATCCTTACTTCAACTTCTTCCAATATTTTCTTCTTCCAGCGCCTCTTCCAGCCGCTCATCTCCTTCTGCTCACATCCACAAGGATGATCAATTCAATGACAAGGACGGACGTACAAAACCAGACACGACAGGAAACGCAGGGTAAGCTTAAGTAATTTAATTCATGCATAAACATACATTTCAAATAATCCAACACCAAATAAATTTCAACGTACGTATCATACAAAGCCTATCACTAGACTGATTGTCCGTACTGTAAGAAATCTGCGTAGCTACAGGCGTTCGTGCACCCGGGTGATGTATTAACTGGAATACTCTCATCAGCTGCCACTCGAGGTTAGTCCTATTCATCCAAAGTACCCCTAAGGACGAGACCTCCTGCCGTTTCCACACATGACCTACCCTCCTCTACGTGAGGACGAGTACCCACGAAACACCAGGATGAACAGCCAGCATTAGCTTCCCACAGTCATACTTTACAAATTCCAACATTTCATCCATGAGTCGTTCCTCCCTGGAATGCTCGTTCAACTTCACATCATTTCATTCATATCACATTCTCTTCTTATTTCATTCATAATCATTCTCAATTCCATCTTTCATTACCAATCACTTTAGTTTCATCTTTCATTATCCATTATTTCAATTTCCTCTTTGACCAAAAGTTTATAAAGGGCACTAAATACCGAACATCAATCCTCACTCAGAACGAGGACGAACACTGGAGACGAAACAGATAGGTCTCCAGTTCCAGAACAGAATAAGACCGAGAGGTTTACTATCGGTTTGAGAGAGAAACCGAATGTAATAGTGTCAACACCCAATTTCGTCCGGATGGACTAATAGATTTATTTTATTTTCATCATGAGTGTAAAATAAAAATTAAAAAAATAATAATAAAAAAGTAGAAAATAAATAAAAAAGAAAACTACGTTCCTCCTCAACCGAGCGCGTTCGGGTCCTCCCCTGCTTGAAACCGTTCGTCCTCTATTGCAATGTTGCAGACCGTTCGCTTCTTTTATCCGTATCTTTATGACGCTCGGCCGCTCGTGCTCAACCGTTCGGTCATTCGGTTTCATTGACGTTCGGCAACTCTCAGGAACTACCGTTCGGCTATCAACAAGCGTTCCACCACTCGTCCCTTCGGCCTGACATGTTGGTCGTTCGGTCATCCTTGGCCCCAAGTGATCTAGGTGTTCGGCCAGGGTGCAAAACGTTCGTCCCAATCGTCTGGTTTAATAATGTTTGCTCATATTTCTTTTTGGGTGACGAGCGTTCGTTTTTGGGCCTTTTGTTATACTAATAATTGTAACGTTCGGTTTTATCGTTTTAGTAACTGTTTGCTTTCGACTTGGATCAGAGGTTTTACCTTGTGAACGTTCGGTCTGAGCGTTCGATCATTTATTTGTGAACGGTCGAGCGTCTAAAAAGGTACTGGGGCTTTGTTTTTTAATGTTAGAACGTTCGTTCGTTTGATAGTGAACGTTCAGTCTTGAAATTGTTGATTCTCAGTTGAACGTTCGGTCTTGTTTTAGTAGTGATGATTAGCGTTCGACGTTGAGCGTTCGGCCTAGGTTTGATTTCACTGTGTTCAGCCTAATAAATAGCGTTTGGTCATATTTTGTGTTAGGGAACGTTCGGTCTCGATGCGTTATCATTCATAAGGATCGGCCGTTCTGGATGGTGTTCATAGGCGTATTGAGGCGCTCGTTACAGTAATAGGTTGTTATAATGGTCGTTCGTCAGAGACAGTGCTGGCTGTTTTTTGTAAAATGGTCTGAGGACGCTTCTCCCTCTTCTACCGCTCGTCCAGATCACTCCTCCTCATCTACCGCTCGTCCAGATCACTCCTTATCTTCTACCGCTCGTCCATATCGTTCCTCCTCATATACCGCTCGTTCCACCTCTTCTACCGTTCGTCCTGATCGTTGCAACCGTTCGGCCGTTCGTCCTCAGACGTTCGGCCATTTAGTCTCATTGACGTTCGGTCATTGGACCTCACCGTCCGATCAACCTTGCCCCACAAGTGTTGAAGCGTTCGACCGTTCAAGCCTAGCAGGTTTACCGTTCGCTATGTAACAATTGTCAACCTTATATCTATTATTGATTATTAGCGTTCGATCTTGATCAGATAGTGTCAGGATTTTATCTGAAGCGTTCGGTTATGTTATATGTTAGCGAACGTTTGGTCTTATTGAAGTTTATTCTCAGTTGAAC